GAAATCTCATCTTCTGTAAATAACTGTGCAAAACCCAAACTGCTCTAATCTGAGCAGTTGCATAAACTGTTAAATCATGGGTCTTTATGCCCATCCGCAGCAGAATAGAAAGATATTGGCTTTCAACAGTTACATTTTCGCTGAAGACTCACCATCAGTTACACAACTTACAAAATACATGCAGTAAATTATCACGAGTTATAACACCTGATCTCCTACCTGGACCACTCCCATGCAAGAGTCGAGAAAGATCGAGCCCTTTGGTTCCTTCGAGATTTTCTCATCTTTATAAAAATTAAGAATGTATGATCCATCTCCAAGCTGAGTCAGGTGGAAAAAGCGCCTCTTGAATGACTGAGGACAGAAAATCAATTTGAGTCTGAAGGAATATTGTTTTTGTTTGTTTGCAACCAGCATCATACAGCATTTGCTTCCCAATAACTTCCAAATTCTCAATTTCATTCAGTATCAGCTGGGACTCAGTGGTCGGCACGTGTGCCTCTGAATCAGAGGGTTCAGGGTTCGAATTCCATGCCAGAGACTTGATCACATGACCCAGAATGACAGTCCTGTACAGTATGGAGGAAGGGCTGAAATTTCACAGGGGCTATCTTTTAGATCAGACATGAAACCAAGGCACTGGAGCCCTCTCAGGAAGATGCAGAGGGTTCTGTGGACACTGTCTGAATGAGAAGGGGCATTCTCATTGATTTCCTGGGTCAATGTTTGTGAGGTCTTGCCCTGTGTGAAGTTTCTGCCATCACAGTAGCGATTACTTTGATGGCAAGATGCTTTGCGATGCCCTGAGATCATGAAAGGCTTTATATAAATGCATTTTCATTCGGTCTTTAACTTTTACATCTAAGAAACGAGGTTGTCATCTGGGGCAAAGTCTAGAAATCACACTGGACCAGAGAAGGCTAGGAGGTTGGCTGACAGAGGTTTTCCAAGTTGACCAGAAGCTATCAGCTCTCACTGGAAGACCAGTTAAAATGTAACAAGGAGGCATGAAGGTCCAGTCTTGATGAGCTTCAGTGTTAGATCACATCAGCGTGGCAGTTCTAGGAAGGGCTCAGTCTCTAAAAGATTTTGTCTTGCAATTGTATGCATTTCCTGCACGTGATAGAATGATTCCCTTCAGCAGTTCGCCAACAGACTTTCATCGTTGACCATCACATCCAAGTGATACCAATGTACAAGGATCTTTGATTATATTCAAGTTAATTAGTTTGATCTTATATTTTTCATAGCTCCCAGCTCAGAGGTAAATGGGCACTAGTTTATTATGACTGAGCTTATTCACTCAGTTATCTCCCCCAGCTTCCAAACATCCCAGGCCCTCCCATTACCCCAATCCCTGAGCGTAACTCTCTCACATCTTGACATCCCCCTGCCTCAGTCCCATTCATACCTCACTGCCCCCAACCCTCTTAATTGAGCTAAACCCTATTTTAACAAACAGGGTAGGACTGATCAACGTGCTCCTTTTCTCCTCTAATGTACAGCATGGTGATGCAGGAAGAAACTTGCATTTCTATAGCACCTTTCACAACGTCAGGGCTTCCCAAAGTGCTTCTAAACATAGAAACAAAGACTTAAATTGGTATAGGGTCTTTCAAAACTTCACAGCATTCAAACATCAGAAGTATGGCCAATTTTGTACAGTAGGCAACATAACAGTCAACTTGCACAACAAGCTCCCACAAACAGCCCAGTGATAATGACCAATTAATCCTTCCTTGTGAAAATGAGGCATAAATATTGGGTGAAGGCATAGATTCTAACTACCTGACAAATAACAGAGCTCTGGGATAAATGCAATTGAAATCTCTTAACAATTAAGCACCATTAATAAAGTTATCTGAGCAAATGAAAAACATTAGAACTACTTTACAGATCCATTTTAGTGTACAATGTAAGAATTAGACAAAATGTGACAGAAGTCTCACCCTCATGGTTACACTGATCGCACTGTTCATATTGCCCTTATGCAACCATCCTTGTTTAGTGATCCCTCCCTTCTGTGAGCCAAGGGAAGCTGTATCCTACATTAAAAAGAATCATCATATTACCAATTCAAAAAGAATTATATCAGAAACTTCAGAATATGCTGAAATTCCTCAACATCAATTTCAACAAGTGCACAACAGCATCCAAACCGTGTCACCCCAGATCAGAGCATCCAAATTATATGGTTTCTTCTCTGAACTTGGTGGAGATATTTTATTAAAGCAAGTCACTCTTCAGAAACACACTGATGTACTCTTCTTCTGAGTCAGTCCTTCAGAACTGAGGACGACTTGTTTCCACTCTGGTCCCTCATGACAGATTACTATGGAATTGACAGTAATATACTGGCATGGGTGGAGAATTGACGTGCAAACAGGAAAACTGAGCGTAAAAATAAACGGGTCGTTCTTAAAATGAAAGGTGGCAATAAATGGAATACCACAGGGATCGGTGCTTGACCCCGAGGTATTCAGCAACAACGTGGATGAGGGAATCAAATGTAACATTTCCAAGTTCGCTGATGTCACAAAATTTGGTGGGATTCAGAATGCTGAGGAGGATGTAAAGGGACCTCAGGCAATTCAGAGTGAATGGGATGTCAGATGCAGAAAACTGTGGATTAGTATAAAGCTATGCAGTTTGGTAGGGAAAACACAGCAACAGATTATTATTTAAATGGTGATAGATCAGGAGATATTAATATCAGAAGGACTTAGGTGTCCTTATACACCATTCACTGAAAGCAAGCATGCAGTGCAGCTAGATCTAACTGGGCAAATTGCATATAGGCCTTCATTGCACGGAGGCCTTAATTCAGCTGTACAGGGACTTGGTGAGATTAGCTGGGGGTGTTATGTGCAGTTTGGTCTCCCTACCTAAGACAGATATAT